CCCAGAACCGCCACTTGTCGGAGAATCGAGCCAACCCCTGTAGACAGGAGAAGGAACCAGTGGTCTGTCGGGTCGTCAATACAATGGACGTAACTGAGAAAGGGCAGGCCCACCTGATAGGTAACCAGAGGGTGTATTTGTACAAGATAGTGGGGGCTTAATTCACCCATCAGGCCCATCACCCACCAGCTCCAGTGCTCTACCAAGCACCAGCAGCCCTCCCCCTCCCGTTTTGTTCTTCCCTTGTTTGAAGTTTTTTCCTTCTTTCTGTTCTTTTGGGTTGCAGCAGTGGACAGATTGTGAAGCTCTCTCTCTCTCTCTCTCTCTCTCTCTCTCTCTCTCTCAGAGTATAACATTTCCAGGATCATTCCAGTAGCCACATACACGATTGATTGGACACGTGTCACAGAGACGCACTGGCAGCAGTGTGCACAACAACAACGATTGCTTGGACACCTGCCACATGAACACACTGCTTGGTCATGGTTGGTCATGCCAATCAGTTGTTGAGTTAATCAATTCAATTGTGTATCAGCGATACCCTTTCACACCACGGTCTATGAAACTGCCGGGTACTGACAGTGACCCTTTTGAAATTTGAATTAATCCATTCAATTTTGTACCATCGATACGCAGTCACCCCTCGGTCTATGAAACTGCCGTGTACTAACAGTGAACAATTTGGGTATTGACAATGAAACTTCAGATCTGAAGATGAGACTTCCGTGTTGCGTGTACTGATAATCGCCTGTGCCATTTCCCTACACTTATAGAAATTGCTATTTGGCGTGCAACATTTGGCCGATCCGGGCGACCCGCGGCCTACCAGCCGACAGCCCGGAATTCCACCCGATCTTAAGACTTTTAGACTTTAAGACTAAGATGGCGCGGCGATCCAGCACCATCCAGACCGTCCACTTTGCCGGATGCCCTGGATCGACGCGCGATCTTAAAGTCTTAAGATCGCACGGAAATCCGGGCCGTCGGTCCGGAAGGGCCGTGGGCGGCCCGGATCGGCACGCCCATTGAGAATAGGGCCCGTTGTGGGGTGGCGCCATGACCCTGTTCTCGTCGAACGGCCCATTGGGTCGAGGGCTGTCCAACTTCGAGCAATGGCTGCCCTACGCGACAAACTACTACCGTACGGGACAAACTACTGCCCTACGCGACAAACTGCCCTACGCGACAGAATGCGCTATGCGACGAACTGCCTTACGCACGTCGTTCTTGGCACTTTGTGCCCTACGGTCTTGCCTACGCGACCTACTGACTTGCCTACGCCCACCTAGATGACCTACGCGACCTATCTACAGCCTACATGATCCATGCAACCTGCCTATGGCCTGCCTACGGCCTGCCTACCGTAACGCTCTCTCTCTCTCTGTGGATCTCCCTCTCCCTCTCTCTCTCTCCCCCCTCTCTCTGTCTCCCTCTCCCTTTCTTTCTCTCAGTGCTTGGTACTTCGTGCTTGGTCGTTTTTGGTTTGTGCATCGGTGCCACTTTGGTGCTACTGGGTGCATTTGTGCTACTTCGTGCTACTCCGGGCTTGGTTTGGTTTCGGTGCTACGTGCATCGGCGATTGGTTCGTGGCATCCGTGCTTCGTGCTAAGTGCAACGGTGCTACATGCGTCGTGGAATCGGTGCTTGGTTCAGTCTGGCATAGTCGAACCTTTTTTTTATGGAGTTGTGTAAAGCGAACATGACGTCACACACACGCACGCAGATGCATTTTGCGCAGACTGTTGCGGTGCAACCTCCGATGAAACAGTCTGGACAGTCATGCTTCCTTTTTGGCGTGCACGAACGCACGAGCGAGCGAGCGAGAGAGAGAGAGAGAGAGAGAGAGAGAGAGAGAGAGAGAGAGAGAGAGAGAGAGAGAGAGAGAGAGAGAGAGAGAGA